TTTTATCTACACGTCAAACTAACATTTGTTTAAAATATGATAAACAATTCCGCAAACAGGTTGACCTGGAGACCGGTAAAATGTTACATATTAAAACATTGGCTGTTGGTGAATTAACCAAAGCTGGAGAACGTGAAGTATTTTTCGAAATGAATGGCCAACTTAGGTCGATTCTGATTAGTGATAAAGAAGCTACAAAGGTGAGTTTGAAGATATGTTTCTCTGAATTCTCTTTTGACTGACCCCTTCAAACTAATATACATAGTACAACACGTGACATTGCCTGGTACTCAGGGATCAGTCGATGTATTTATCTTAGTTATAAAAGATATCCGTTTTATAATTGCTCTGGAAGATATTCATGATAAGTTTAAAACATCATTTGCTGCTGCGCAATGTAACTCAAATCTGAAAGGTGTAGAAAACAAAACATGTGACTTAAATTTACTAGATTAAGACCGATTAACTGAAAGAAAAAATGAAAAAGGTCAAAGTGTCTAATTGACTAACGTTACTAAGACAGTTAATGATTAACCACTGACTCGTCCGATACACAAAGGTCAGGTTTAAGCCTTCTAATCGCTATTTTAAAAAATAATGGAATCACATGTTAAATAATCTGAATGGATTCTTCATACACTCTGTATACCGTATTTAATAGTTAGCTAGAACATAGTCGAAACAATGTGTAATCCTTCAAATTCTTATGCTTTTACGTCTATATATGCGATTGAGGGTGGCATGTGATGGGTATTTATCTACCTTTGTTTGCGTTATGCAGTATTACATTGTGTGGAGAGGGACAAATTTGGCTGCATAAAGTGGTGAAAGCTATTAAACGTATATGCATGGGAAAAATTCAGGGTGGGAATTATATAAATTTTCATAGTTTTTGTTATTTATTGTGTAAATATATGTTGGTGAAAAAAATTGTTTACCAAAAAAAACTTGGGGAGGGGTAACAGACAGTTGTCAGTTGTTCGTAAAGAATTGTAATAATGGATGCCTTACTATATTAAGGCTTATGTGGATACTTTCATAAATTCTTTCCTTCTGTTTGGGTAATTATGAGTTTGGCAACACAGTAGTATATGCCAGAATAAACGATTGTCTACAAACTTTCCAATATCTCAACTATATCTCCGAGAAGATCTAACGGACATCATGATTTTTGTCCATCCTTGTAGTAATTACTTTCACATTTTCATTTAATTGCACTCAAGAGAACTTGTTAATAGCGAGATGCCAGCTAAGTTCACGTGGTATGTTTTACCTGTATAACTCTAAGATGTTTATCTTGACCTGACAATGTGGGTTATTCATGCTTCAAATTTTATCAAGCTTTACACATTACGGTTTAAATTCCTTTCACATTGAATCCTACTGAAACTCACTTCATTCATAGGAATTGGGATGACTTTCTCGTGCTTTACATCAAATACTAAAATTAGTTAGATAAGTGTTGAAAACTGGGAATAAATAGGCGGTCACTCCGTTCTAACATGAAACTTCTCAGTAGCAGTGCTTACCTACGATCTTACCAGAGGCCGATTCCAGGACCTTGAGGTACCCTAGAGAACACTTAACTTCTAGACCACTGTGTTGGTACTCAAATTTGAGACATCCTTTACACATTATTCGTCTCAATTATTCTCAATCATACAAACTCCTCTAGTCTTATCTACTTTTTGTTTCTAGTCGATATCGTTTCATCCAAAAGCTTTGAAAGGTGTCAAAGGCTCCATTGGTTCACCGATGCCTGGCGAATTGGTAACAATCAATGTAAAAGAGGGAGATGTTGTAGAAAAAGGTCAAAAATTGGCTACCTTGTCAGCTATGAAAATGGAGATGAGCATAACATCGCCTATTGCAGGTTGTGTCAAAAAAATTCACATTTCCAGTGGAATGAAAGTATCTGGTGATGATTTATTATTCGATATAGAATAAAACGTTTCATTTATTTCAATATACTACCTATATTTACCTTTAATTCTTTGATATCATATTTCTGTGTTATGCTGTGACAACTACCTACTAGCAATATTTATATTTCACTTTAATTCGATCGTGCTATTTATGTTACATTGTAACAAGAGCATTGGCTTTAAAAAGATTATTTACTTGGTATTATACACAGGGAGATAGATGTAAATCGAGTTACTTTGACAAGTATCCCTTGGCAATTATGTATGTATGTTTTTTGTTCTGTAGTTATCTTCACTTACATAATTACAAATATAGACAAATCTCTACTTTTTAATAGTTGTTTTTCCTGTTGTCTCTATTAAAATAATCTTACGAAGTCAAATATAGTTCTCTCCCGACAACGTTCAACTGCTCAATATTAAGACACAGTACAGGCGATATTGGATTACTTGGAAAAGTGTCTTTAACTGAGTCGGCACTATATATTAGATCCGGCGGAACAGCGTATCCGATGTTGAATGGATAAAAAGGCATTTGTAGCTTTTCGAGTGTTGAATGTTTATTAATACCAAGTGGTTCTAAAACAAATGACAATACAGTTCGTACCACAACTGAAAGCCAGTGTTTTTTTTACTTAAAATGCTTATGCGTCTCGTAAATTGAACGCTAAACTAGGTTACTAACTATTCCCGTAACCCTCAGGCTAAATCTACACAGCAACTTGGACAAGAGAAAAGGCGAAAAATATACGAGAAGCACTTTACTCTAAAGGTTCATTCACGTACTGAAAATATACGGTTTATATAGTATTTTAAAAGTCCTTGGATTTTCCCGAACGTTTTGAAATGCTACTAAATATGGTAGCAGTATAGTAATCAACCAGTCGGAAAGTCTACATGTGACTTTTCACCTTCGTGATGTTTCTGGCGAAACTTCTAGAGAATGCTGATCGAATAAAATGCTTCTTGGTGTTTCCTGAGCCTTTCTTGTCTTTTGGAAGAAATTTTCTGCATCACCCTAACAAACACCGACGCGATATGCACTTAGCTACTGATTCTAATGGCTGCTAGCCGTCTGTGATACTTTTACCATACTCAAAATGGGCTTTGGTTATCCCATTGTTTACATTACTAGCTGAATTTTGATCAATCCTTACTGATATGTGTACCTTTGAGTTGCAAATTCAACATCAACATGCAGCTGACGAATCTCAAATTGGACGAAATACATCTTGGATAGTGTTCGTAGTTACAATCGAGCTCCTCCATAAAAACTTACGAAAGATAGCGACGTCAACTCCGTACATACAGGGCGCACTGCTAACCTTCATCGGTCTCAACAGTGAGGTACAACCTGTTTGCCATTGGCCAACACAATACAAGAGAATAAATTCCCCTAACTTATTAGTTTTGCCGTTGTTATTCACCACTTCAACATAATGGACAAGACATCGGTCATTGCACTGTGACCCATAAACGTAAGCATTTGGGAATGGCTTTGATTCTTCACACCAGAGGATTTTAGCTGATAAGTTCAACTGTAAATGAACTAAAAGTCATCAGTAGTTTAATAGCAATGTTTTCAAGGTCTACGTGAATTGACGATAAGTGTGTGCCATCATAACTATAGCATAACTACATCGTGGATGATTCTCTAGGCAAAATGTACTAGATGTTACACATTATGGAATAAAACCTTCAGAACCTCCGATTTTATTTTATCTATAAGTACGTGACATTTTCACACCGAATACATATATATATATATATATATATATATATATATATATATATAGCTTGTGGTGCTTCTGCATATCGCTTCGAGTCACACCTCAGCACGTATTCCCCAGATTACAAAGCCGATAGTGTTTGGATTTAAGCCTTTCCACGCGGAATCTTGATACGCTTTTATCTACTTCTAAACAAGTTCTTGGAATATGTGGTAAATAATATCTCAAAAGCATTAATTTCGGCTGGACCATATTACACTGTTGAGTCAGTGGATATAATTATATACGTTTTTGCATTTTGGTTAGAGATAAAAATGCAATGACTGCTAGAATTCAGATAATGAGTAAATTTCACGTTGTCTGAGAAATCAGGTTATGTGATTAATAAGTTTTCGTTTATGACTGAGACGTACATTCATTTGTCCTGAGGTGGAATCTAAACTGTTGAAAGTAAATATAGTATAGACTGAATCTAAATAGATTATCTAGAATCACATCTTTTCTTATTGTAGGGTCAGTGAAATGTCACTGAACCCTAGCTAAATCAGGCACTTGAGTCACCAAATGTTAACCAGTTCATCGACCCTCAGCAAGGTTAAGGACAACTAACAGTTAATGAGACTCCATGGACTCGCTCATGCGGTCGCGGTCACACTTTGTTCCTTGTGTCTACTCTCAGTAATGTATTTTTGTAATAACATCGTTTGTGTTGAACAATCATAGTACCTGGATATGACGAAATGGTAATCCGTGTAAGGTACTAAGCACGAGATTTTACTTCGAGTTCGTCATACCATTCCCGTCTAACTTGAGTAGGGCTCTAACCATTCAACACAGACCACTTAAGTTAGTGATCTACAATGTCTCGATTAGTCACTTCATTTAAGCTACCCATCAATAGGCTCATACATAATGCATTTGAAAAGAACAGATTAGTCTTGACACAAAATGTTTCTTAGTAGCGATTCTCGGACTTCTTCGCACATCTACCGACAGCTACAATTCAAGGTGTCAGATGTCGATGCTATTGATTGAATTATTGTGGCATTTCATTGGCATTTCATGGTATACTAGAAATCACCTAACCAAGCACCCAGCACTCAATAGCAGTACCTGACTATTCAACTCGCTCAACAGGTTAATGCTCAATAATCCGACTTGAGAAGCGATATCTTAAGGGTGTAATCAAATGGAATTTAGAACTCAGAATCCTTAGTTGTTTTAATCCTTTCAGTCAAAATAACTTATACGATTACTGAAAGTAAGAAGACCATTATATCATAGTGTTCTTTTACCTTGATGCTCGAAAACGATCAATCTGTCAATCAAAACGACAGTTCTGGATATGGAAATTTTGAAAAAAATGAAAGAAGTGAAAGTGTTTATATCAGTGCGACATGATAATATCATTTATTGGATATTGAAGCTTCGTTTTATGAATCTGGCGTTCCCAGTCAAGGTCAATTTTTATTTTTTAAGTTCGATAGTCGGAGTTTTGAACGTATGTCTGTTTGAAAAATTTTCCTGTTTGTGGTTCACTCTAGTACCGTCCTCTTTTCTGTTGTTTTGTCTGTTCCGGCTGCAAGGTCGTTCCATACACAACTTTTCACTCAGTATTCTATAACCATCCCAAAATATAGTAGGAGAAATAAAAGAAGACAAATGGAAAAATGTTTTCTATTTTGAGGATGAATTTTTTACTTTTATATGGACGAAATATCCTCTGAGTTGTCAGTATTTATGTTCAATTCTTGACTAATAACTCATTTGCTTGCTGCAAAGAAAATATTTTTCTGAATCAAAACATTGTTTGCAGGAGATTTTTCGGTTGTAAACTGGAAGAAGTTCCAGAATTAGAAATTAGTTTGTTAGTCAAAACATGTTCTAAAATGCAAATTTTCCTTAGAAAAATTTTTGTAAGAAAATTTAGCATAAGGTAACCTGTGTAATGGAGAACTATTACTTCGTGGTCTACACAGTTTGTAGCTATACACACATAATATATCAATGGATGCTCATTTATGCTCATGAATAACTACTAAGCACATTAATATACCTATATCACTAGAAGAAAGTAATCCTATGAAAGTCTATGGACTCAACATAAGAGCAGAATTTAATTAATCTATTGTCCTTAGCGCCAAAAAATTGTCCAGTTTAAGTTTTACTAGGTTATCAGGTTCAGATGACTTCAGTCTAGTATCCCTGTGAGTAATAACCGGTTTCTGAGATCTTCAGTTAACTAAACTTCCAGTTTTAGCAACAGGATTATTCTATTGTATCCGCTTGAAGAGCGGGGTTTTTTCAGTATAACGTTAAATAGCTTATTTTCCTGGATCGCATCCGAAATGCATTGTCATTTTTATCCCTCTAATATAAGGCTGAAAGGGAAAGAGGAATATGAATCTAAAGCATCACTCAGATTGACTTTATCAACGATGTGCTTTAGTGAATGAATGTTGTAAGCTAAATATTTGGCACTGTAACACCATATCGTGGAAAATTATGATTTAATTCTTGCTTACATATTCGACGCGACTGGTGCATAATTTGGGATTAGATGATAAATGAATTAACGTTTCTAATTATTGAAAAGTTAAATAAATGTGTAAGGATAAAATATTTTTGAGTATTGCTGGTCCTAATTAAGGAAGTAGTTTGCATCCCGTTACTTTCCATACAGAAACATCAAATACACGTTTTCGCTGAAAGATCATTTTCGGTACAATGCGGAATGGGGTTTCTAATAGCTGTAATGTCAGTTTTAATAATATTTTCAAGTTCCTTCTGCGATAGATCTAGCCATAGAATAAGTAATTTCTTAACGACATTTAAGTATATCAAATGCATTGTATATAGGGGTACGGTGGACAATATGTTTAATGTTTAGTAATCCCAAGTCTTACTTTCTATATTGGTGAATAGCTTCAATCTGTTGATGAAAACTTTCATCACCTTATTAAGTGTACTCGCTATTTGAAAAATCATCCTGCAGCTAAAACGACGTCCCTTTACAACGCTCGTACCACAGCAATCAGTCTGATGCCTCACGTTAGCACTAACAGGTCCACCACATTACGGCAATAAGTTTCGCAGCTACCTATCTACTAAGCTTTAGGCAGTCTAACCTAGGGTTCCCATTTCTTTAAGTTAGGAAATAAAGTCGGCCAAGATCCCTTTGAATATGGCAGGTTTTATCATGTCATCAAAGACGTCTACCAAGAAAATATCACTAATTCTAAGAGCAACAATGCTGCCTGATATAGGCCATAATTGTTGATTAAATCTCTTTTACAACGACAGCCCATCTACATTTATTCGCAAATCTATGCAATTAAGGTTCAAAACGGACAACCAAATTTCAATATATTTTAACAGACTTGTTTGTAGTCCTATATGGTAGTAAATACCATCTCTCATGAATTGTGAATCAACATTTCTGCGCGTTTTTAAGACACATGACACTTTTAGGCAATTAAGTCACATACTTTCGTAATGTATTCAAGCTGGGATCAACCTTCTTGAGTGTAATGCCTGTCCCCCCATAATTTCCATTACAGCCGCGTCCATCTCTTTCTTTATAACTAGTGATTTCGGTGGAGCTAATTCGTCATTCTAAAATGAAAAAGTACTCGTAATCCAGTCACATACAGTTGCCACACTGTCTCAAGGCTTCTGGACAATAATAGTGATAGGCAGATAGAACTGGTTTCATGACTTCATTCTAGAATAGTGAACTTAAAATTAGTTCCACTGCAGTGGTACAGTTCCATTCACTTTTTAACCTTTTTTTTTATTCTAAAGTCAAATGTTACTGATTTTGCATTCTTGAATTCTATCTATTCTTTTTGAACTAATTGTCTCACGTTTAAACTTTTACTGCAGTTGAAGTTATTTCGTCTTCACCTCTCACCCTGATCATTTTTTTCTCTCTATAATGTAAAGTGTAACGATTTAAACTAATACATAGTCGTACCAAGTTTGACATCAATTAGAACTAACTAAAACGCTTTCATTACTTACTTCACTATTATTATGACTATCATTCTGTTCATCTATTTCTTATCCACACGTCTATGCTTGTTTATTTTTTGAATTCCTTCCGTACAACAACTTAAATTAAGATTTTCTGCTATTATGTTTGTCTATCTGGTGCTTTTTCTGTAGGCGATATTTCCAGTAATTAGTCTATTTTCGTTTTAGCTTAACACATCGCTGGATCGTTTTAGTTTTTACAGTGCTTACATAAATATGGATTCATTTCTTATCAGCCAAGAATCTGGACATCCCATTGAAAAAGACTTCGCCTTCAATAACAATGTCGCTAATGCGCATGTAACAGTTAGACTAAGTAAGTTTGCCCTATTGTCCATCCATAAAGGATGTGGTAGTATATCTATAGTTTTATAGTTTTAACAGACACATTTTTTCCGTTGATTTTCCTCATGAAACTAGTTTCATTCGAAGTCAATATCTATCAATGAAAGCTGAATAACGAGAGAGCTGTTGAATAATTAGTACATCTCTGATCTCATGTTATTCATCAACTCGTAGATAACCATGTCAGATTTTCAAACAAATATGTAGACTTTAGAGTAAGTTTGCTGATCATTTACGGAAACATGCAGTGGACGTGACTATTAAAATTGAACAAGCCACAATGAGGAAAATGTATGGCAGTAAACATACTTTTAGAAAAATAGTGACCTAGAAATTTGAGTAGGTTACTGTACATTATTTACATATATACTCCTGACATGGCTTGGTAACCGATGTTCTGAACTTACAAACTTTCACTGTCTGTTTGGTTGGTATTAATAATTAATATAAAACCAATAATCTTTCGACCTAAAATGTCTATTGTTTGTCTTTTTTGAATTAAGGATTTTTACGCAAAGTCTACGGTATCTTATTTACACAACTTTTGCTCACTTCATTATGCGCTGGAACAATGATGATGTTAAAACCTGTTTTATTGGATAACCTTCAACAGAAGTAGGTTGTTATTTTCTGATGCACTGGTAACTGTTACTACTTGTTTTCATTTTTCTAGTATATGGTTACCAATTGTACTAATTGTGAGTACAATCGGAATTCTATTGGGATTAATGTGGAAAAGACAAGAAACACCAACTAATTTCATATTATTATACTTATTTGTAAGTTCATAAATATATGATAATTTCCATTTTAAAAATATGGTTATCCTATTTCTAGACTATATGTGAATCTATACTCGTGGGATACGCAGGTAGGTAAAGTTATGTTGGTAGCTTTAACGAAAATCGTTTAAAATTATTATATACTCTAAATTTACCGATTGATCGTTAATTTTTTAATGAAATAATTTTTTATTGATTTCAGTTCATTGAATCATGCGCTAATGTCGTCTATAAAAAATAGTGGAAAAGACTGTATTAAGGATACGATCCGTAACGTTCATCTTTTTAGCTACATAATGCTCACGCTTTTTATACCGATGATCAGTTCCAGTAAAATGACGAAGAAAAGATCAGGAAGCTTTAATTGACAAAACCATTCGATAATGTACATTAATCATGGGTATCTATGTATTTATCCTACCTGAACTAGATAACGATATGCAGGTTATAGTCTTGACCAGGCGCATAATCAACCTCCTCTGATAACGTTCCTCGCTTATAATTTACCATTTATCGTTTGAACCCGAAACGCCATGTCAGCTGTCTGTCTTACGCAAATACGTAATATTCCATTGACTCCCCCTTGACGGTTTTATCTAGAAAGATAATGAACGCTTTACGTTTCAACTACTTAGCTCTGAAAGCGCAATTTAGCCAAAAACATGTGTCTTAAATGAATAATAAATTTGTCACCCATGCCTATTATTTTGGCAGACAGTCCTGTGGAAAAACGAAACGGTTGGTTATAATGATCAAATTAAGACAGAAAATTTGTTCAGACTCTTATTTCTAATTGGTTGTTATTATCAATAAATATCAAAGTGGCTCACTAGGCCGTTTGCCGTAGTTACATTCAATGTTTCGATCACCTTTATACTTGATAATATCATATAGCAAATTGTACTCAAGTTGAGTATCCTGTTACGTACATTAATTTAGTGAAATACGAGTTTTCGCAATGCTCATTTTACGTTTGTTAGGTTTTGCCCTACTGGAAATAGAGTCCAAGATTCTGTGTCTTTAGAAATCCCAATAATTTCAGTATTTTAAGCTGTCTGATTATCTAAAATAGCTTTTAAAGAGATCATATAATATTATGGTTTCGAAAATTCTGTCGTTCTCATCATTTCTTAAGTCCTGCTTACTGAGGTAGTTTCCAACAACTGTCGAATTAATGTATCAGTCAGTCAAACGCAACGTTGAATCTAGTACATGTCCGCATCGCTGCAAGTTATTACAACCCATTAGCATAACGAGATGACATTGTCAGGCTAAATCCCAGAGCAGTAGTAGTATCACGGGTTATAGGAAAGCTTAGGCGATAAAGGTATGATTTTAGCGAATATAAATTAGTGAAATGGAAAAACTTTTACGAGGAATTTAGACACTTATAATCTAAAGGAAGACAAAGAGTTAATGCATTTGCGCCATTGCAAATGACTTTAAGTTATGTCACCCAAAGTCTCTAACCATCGGTTAAAATAATCAAGCGGATCCCAACTAGGTAATCTGCACTTGCTTACATAGCCCAGTACAATAACCAGTGTCTTCATGAATTGATGCCATGTATATTATCTATAGCTCTTACAATTAGTTTGTTAAAACCACCACCAAGGTCATATCAACCAAACTCTGGCATTTCGGCATAGCTGAAATTTGCGAATTGTGTGCTTTTTTATTAGAAATTGTGTAAACCTGCGATCCCTTTGGTCTGGTTTTATGTAAATTCATATTAACTAGTTTATGTTGCCCCAGGAATCTCCTACTGTATCCAAATGTTTAGCATTTATTAGAGTAATTATTGGTTTACCATTATTATTATTATTATTATTATTATTATTATTATTATTATTGGTGACTTACTTTTTAATTATTTTATTTCACTCTTCAAGTGATCACATATTCTGCAACTGTTGTACTTCAAGCATTTATACTGACCACCATAGTTGTCATGTCTTTGATGTTGTATACACTGAATTCTAAGAAAGATTTCAGTAAATGGGGTGTAGGATTATCAGTTGCTTTTCTCATTTTACTATTGGTTGGACCAATTAACGTAAGTTGACATCCCCATTGTTTATTTAACATAATCTATCATTGAAATACCCATATGTACTAAGTCCTCCATCATACTATCAACATTATGAGGTCTTTTGAGACAAAATGTAGCCTCAACTGTAGAACTACGGAGATATAGGGACACTAGATAGATATTTCATCTTGATTTATGACTCTGTAACTGTTTACTCACAGCCTCATATGCTATCGAGCTCATTTTCTCTAGACATCAATCTGTGATGGGAATCACCTCTGAAATATACTAGAATCTCCGTTTAGAAAATATACCTTAATAATATTGGATATAAGTATTTATAAGGTGATTTATTTTTTTCACATTAACTTTAACCTGAGACGCAACTGTAATATGGTAGTTCTTATGTAAATCTAACTGATTTATCACATATAATGTTTATGTACTTTGTGCCACTTTGTACGTATGAGGGCTAGTGATACCACTTTAAATGCTCAGACTGAATTAGATCAATTACACTTATTGGTTGTTTTTTTTAGATGAATGTTTTATTCATAAAGCTACCATAGACTGTCTAGGACTCCTTAGTTGTCAAGCTTCAGATTTCTTAAAATTCGATTGTCAGATCAGTCATTTATTAGTATTAAAATTGATTTCACGTTAGTTAGAGTTCAAAAATATCATTTATCAATACGAACATATCCTCTCGATCCTGCAGCAGATTAGTTGTGGCCTGAATAGCTCGGCAGTAACCTATCAAACTGTTAAGCTGGGGAAGTCAGTTTGAATCTTACTAAAGGCATCAGTCCGCTCAAGATTTCAGGTACGCCTTGCTGACAAGTACCAATTAGTTCAGAACCTAAATTCAGAGTTTCCTGTCGATTGCCACCAACCACCTGACGCTAAAGCAGCATATTGAGATGTCGAGTCACTTGTAGTAGTGATCACATTGCTACTTGATCAATATAACTTAATTAGAACTAAAGACTAGGCTAGCACAAAATTATTTACTACTCAGCGATTATTCAATACAAACATACTCCATATGATCTCTGATTCGTTTCCCTAGTGATATCACAATAATTGCGTAGTGCTTTTTAGTACAGCCCAATTCTAAATGATAATTTATCGAGTTTTCAAATCGATCAAGCTATGTTTATAGTATGACAATAACATTGATAGTTGACATCTCATTACTAATCAACTTTTGGATTACCCTATCGTTTGTATTCTTTACTGAATTTCGATTAGTCTTTGTAATCATATGTGCATTCTATGCAGATTACCTAAATGTATAGTCACTTTTTTCATTATCAACAACGTGATAAGTTAAACATTTATCAATAATGACATGAAAATCATGCGCATTGAACAAGGTTATGACTATTGTCCGGAATCAATGGCTCAGTGGATGGCACGTTGGCGTTTGCAGTGATAGGTACTGAATTCGAGTTCCAATGTGAACATTAACACTTGAATTTAGGCAAGTAGGTAGGTATATCCTCCTGACAAGTTTCAAATGAAATGAAGTGCGCCTCCAGAATTTCACTGATATCCATCGATTCTATAGGAATTGATAATTGGTTTTACTCTCTAATTTTGCTGTGTTTTATACTATTCCTTAATTCCCTGTATTTTTTCCTTGATTTTTGCTCTCTATTTTTTGTTAAACATTCCTTACAGTTATTTCTAGGTTCATCATTATTGGAATTATGTATGGCAGCCGGTGGTGCTTGTCTATTCAGTTTATTCATAGTTTATGATACTTGGCGAATAATGCATCATTGTTCACCGGAAGAATATATTATGGCATGCGTTGATCTATACTTAGATATATTAAATCTGTTTATGTATATTTTAAGATTTTTAAAAGAAGTACAACATAATCAAGGTTGATTAATTGGTTGTGTTCGGTAATTATTTACTATTAAATAAGCGTATTTGTGACTTCAATATTTATTATTCACTACACTTAAACCACATACTTATCTATTGGTATTTAACTGCTAATGACTAAGTCATGAATGATTGTTTCCACTTTTCGTATAAACTACTATTACTACTACTAATTTCATAACTATTGAAAAGAAACTGACAAACTTTACCCTTGAATTGTCCCTTTCATTTTCCTTGTCGCTGTGTTCCTCTTTGCTGTTTTTCTGATCCTTTTAAATTTCTCTTAGCTTTTTAACTGATCATACAAATGAAGTACACAAATGTACCGTACTAACTCGTGTGTGTGTATGTGCATATTCCAATATTTTTTGCTTATCCTTTTTTCTGTTGATAAAATTAACATCTTGTCAGACTATTGAATAATAAAAGATTTATAACTCAACCAGTACTACTCTTCTTTTAAAGACAATTAGTTCAAATCCAATATTGTCCTAAATTAATCATGATGGAGAAAAATGACTTCAGGTCTCACAGGGAATATCAAACCAACATATTGGATATCGACTGTATTGCGATTACGTCTAATATACAAAATATTGTTTAGTACTTACAAGGCTTTAAATTGTCGACAAAACAAGCAAAACTCACTTGAGTGTGAAGATCATTATGAATGAGAAGTATGAAGTAAAATAATATTTCTCCTCAATGTATGTTAGGGTTAGGATTATAAGTTATAGTATATACATAAATCAACCCTCAATCCTGAGCGTCAACCTCGATTCAGACTTTAAAATCTAACCATTTAAGACATTGCCAAACTAGAAAAATTCACCAATCATGTAAAATCAACTAGTAATTTCACTCATTTTCTACCAAAAAATTAATTATCCACATTTTCTGATTATCTGGAGTAGTTCATATTCATTTGATAGTATAATTTATACTGACCGGAAACTGTAATAACATTTGAAAGAATCATTTTACATTTATGAAACCGTCATTTATTTATATACCGTTTTCATTGTAAGTTCTTAAGACTTATTCATAACCCTTTATTAGTTTGCAGCTATTCAATTCTATATTTATTAAAACTTATACTTAAGTGTTGTTAATTATTTTATGCGGTTCAGTTCATTTACGATATACACATCATGTGGTGTACCTAAACCCACTGCAAATGTGAAAACAAATCAGTGGGAAGGTTTCGGTGGCAGTTTAAGTTATAATTCAGTCAGTCAGTCAGTTACAACGTAGAACTTCGTACGTACGTACATCAGTTCAAGTTGCCATACCACACTAGCACAGAGATGAAGTTGTCGATTCAAATCCCATAATGGTAGAAGTAGTAAGAGTATAAACAGTAATCGGAAAGATTAGGGTTTGAAGATGTTATTGAAGGAGTATAATACAATGAGATAAATTTGGAAAAAGAAAAAGGATACAGACATGAAGAATTCAGAAGATTAGGATTTGGGACTACACAAAGAGTGGATGCACCTTCGCCATTGCGAACGATTTTGAGCCATGTCATTCAAGGTCTCTAACCATCGGTTGCTATCATCTCGCGAATCCAAACCAAGTAGTCTACACCTACCGACATGGCCCAGTCCACTTGTCAGTGACTTCATGGATTTATGCCATGTTTTGGCCTGGCCGCCCCTAGCTTTCTTCCAACCTGCTTCTACACCATAAAGCATTGCACGTCGGGGAAGTCGGTGGTTGGGCATACGTAACACATGTCCCAGCCATCTCAACTGATGAAGTTTCACTACTTCATCAATCGATTTGCCATCCTTACCTAGTACCCGTTTCCTAACATCTGCATTACTTACCCGGTGGTCCCAGGATATACGAGCAATGCGTCGAAGACACCTATGATCGAACACTAGTAGCCTACGAATATCCTCTAATCTTATTGGCCATGTTTCACTGCCATAAAGTAGGACGGAACGGACTGCTGCACAGTAAACACGTCCTTTTGTTGCAAGGCGGATATCTCGCCTACGCTATGAATGACGCAATTTAGCGGAAGCAAGACGAGCCTTCTGTATCCGTGCTGAGATTTCGTCACACACCAGACCACAAGGGCTGATGAGACTCCCAAGATAAGTGAAGCTGTCAACACGCTCAACTACTTCACTCCCTATCATTAGTTCAGGTGTCGATGCAACCCAATCCTGAAGTAACATTTTGCACTTCGAGGGAGAGAATCGCATCCCGAACATGCCTGCATTGTTGCTTATAGTGGTCAGAAGACTCTGTATTTTGTCTTCACCGAATAGAACCATATCATCGGCATATTCTAATTCAACAAGTGAATCTCCCGGTAAAAGTTCAGATCCTGGAGATTGAGACGATGGAAGTCTTATCTCTAAAAGCATGTCAACGACAAAGTTAAACAAAAATGGAGAGAGTGGTAAGCACTGGACACCACGTGATGTTATCTATTCTGATGACAGTTCGCCATAAGGTATAATTCGGCCAAATGTGTTCGATTAGAGAGTTTTTGTGAGGTTAATGTACTTCTTTGGTACTCCTTTCACTGACAAACACTATCACAGAACCTCACGATCAACTGAGTTAAATGCCGCTTTTGGGTCGACAAATACTACGATTATGGGGTGTCTGAATGTGTGTCTGTGTTCTAGAACTTGACGTCGAGTGAATATCTGGTCTATACAACCACATCCAGGTCGAAAACCAGCCTGGTTTTCTCTAGCCTGCTCTTCACGAGCTTTGGTTAGGCGCCTAAGTATTATTGAAGCTAATATTTTAGACACTATATTAGTCAAACTGATCCCTTTGTGATTGTCACAGGAGGACTTTTGTCATTTCTTATAGACTGGCACAATCAGTGATTGGGACCAGTCAGATGGAATTACGTCCAGTTCCCAGATTCTACCTAAGACCTCAGTCAATCTCACTGCTAGTACTGGACCACCATCCTTAAAAATCTCAGGGGTAAACCTGTCAGGGCCTGCTGCTCTCCCTCGCTTCAGATTTCTTATGGCTTTTTCAACCTCACAGAGGGTTGGAGGACTTACCTCAATTTGCCACTCAGGACGACTGGGGATCGTGGGTAACTGAAGTGTGGCTGAAGGCCAGTTGAACTGATCCCTAAAGTGTTCTGCCCATTGATCCAATCTCCTGGATTGAGAATGAATGATATGCCCGTCTTTGTCTGAGATAGTTTCGCTAATAGTTGGGTTCCTAATGCCGGTTTCTTTAATAAGTCTGAACAGCTGCCTACTGTTACCTATTGCCGCTGCCTTTTCCATCTCTCTTGTTTTCGCTACCCACCACTGTTCACAATCATTACGTAGGCTATTTATAAGCCTGCGCTTAAGTTGACTCCGCTCTTCGTTATGTTCAGAGCCAGGTGGGATGAGTTTACGAGCATCTATCAGTGCGGTAGATGCTGCCGAGATCCATTGTTTCTCCCTAACGTTATGGTTTACCTTACTAGCGGATATCACAGCTTTTCTGATGTCATTCCACGCTGCCTCGGGGTGGACACAACTTACATTGCTGCCTAACTGTTTTTCTAGTTGTTCCTGAAATATATTCTTAGCTTGCCTATCATTAAGTAGAACCCTTAGAGGCTTCCCTGCAGTGTCTTTCCTACGACCAGTAAGACGCCGACAGATACGTACTCGCACTAGAGCATGATCTGAATCTAAACATGTGCCCCAGAATGAGCGACAGTCTTCTATCGAGCCCCTCCATTGGTGGCTGATAGCGATGTAATCTAATTGGGTCCAACGTTGGGACGAATTCGGGGGTCGCCATGTCAAAAGATGTTTTTCCTTATGCTTAAAGTTAGTATTTGCAAGAAATAGGCGGTTATCTGAGCACAGCTGCAACAGATGGTCGCCATTATCTGTTCTTTTAGCCACGACACCATAAGATCGACCCAGGTGTCTTTACCTTTCGCTTAGTTTACCTACTTGAGCATTAAAGTCACCATCTACTATTACTACACCAGAGCGCCTGGCTTTTCGGAGAAGGTCGGAAAGCTTTCTGTGAAACTCATCTTTTATATCATCTGAGCTACAGTCAGTGGGAGAGTAGGCAGAGATGACGAAGAGACAACGGCGAGTTTCCCTATCTTTCTGAGTCCTTACTGATCCGTTTAGTCGGACAGCGCATAGACGACTGTCTACTGGGATCCAATCTAAAAGAGATGGTTCTGCCCTAGGACTTAATGCTATACCTACTCCAGCGAGGCCACGAGAAGTAGCATCAGGGCTTCCAGATACACGAAGTGTGTATCGATATGGTTCTTTATTTTGATTAGGTGAGGTCAAATGAATGACGCTACTCTGATCTTGTATGCGCGTTTCGGAGACGCAGCACACATCGATGGTGTAAGTTTCTAGAGTCCTAGCTAAGGAAGCCTGTTGTTCTATTTGGCACAATGTTCGGATATTAAAAGTTCCTACATGTAGTTTAGAGCGAGGTTTCAGGAGACCAGGAATAACGTTCCGTGTACACGAATCGTTTGCCCTAGTGGTGCGAGGTGATAAAAGGACGTGGGAAGGGTTAGTCGTGGAGATAAGAGAGTTGTTAGGAGGTGTAGGAAGGATTTGAAAGCGACCAACTTGGTCTCGTGTGCAGTTAAGGGTATGAGGGCTAGTATCACTTCCCGGCTGCCCACACCGTGGAAGGGTATTTCTTGAGGGACCTGAAAAAAAAGTTGGATTAGTATTGGTCTTAACGACCTGGGAACGTGACCGCAGTGCCCAAGGGACAACTGCTTGAGGCCGGTCACGCACGGCCTTTTTGTGGGGGATTTTTGATGTGTTAGCTCCGTTCTTCAAAGGACCTTACCGCCGGAGACGGAAATCCGTGGGATAAGGCGAGGTGTGCATTTTTAGGATCGACCTTTTCTAACCCCACCCCTCCTTGTGGGAAGGCAGCATCGCTGTCATGCTGGTTGTCTGAAGGAAACAATTTACTGCCGTCACACCTCTGTACAGTCGGCAGTACGACTTCGCCTT